GTCACAGCAGAGGGTGCTTGGGGAAGAACAAACAGCAGAGGTGCCTAGTAAGCAGCTTTTATTTTGAGAAGGGAGTTGTTGGGGCAAGGAGGGTTGCAGAAAGAAGGGTTAGGGCTGCATGCATGCCTTGATGCGGAATAGGGCGTTGTGCTCTCTCTCACATCGTGATAATCGGCCTCAGTGATCTCATCAAAGGTCTCATGCAGAAGCTAAGCAATCCGCCTGCGCAGGTTCCTTGGCAGAGCTACTGTGCTCCTTGTCCCAGTCAGGCTAACATGTCCGCACCACTTTGCAATGAGGGGGCAGGGGGGACTATTGCTGCACACAGGCATAAGGGCCAGAGTGGAAGCTGCATTGTTGCAGAAGACCCTCCCTTGCTTCCCAGGTCACCCTCAGCAGCAAGATATCTTCCAGGATGAACCCATCCTGTGGAAACTTTGGGGACAAGTGTTGAGTATAGGGGCCCCCTGCAACTTTTGGCTCTCCCCAAGGCATAGGACCCCAGAGGACAGTATGGCCTCAGAACAATCAGTCCCCCCTGCCCCTCTGGTTACTCACCATTTTGGGGCTCTTGTGGGTTGTGTGCACTCATCTTGGGACAGGCAGTTTGTACTATTGTGTGCACTGGGCTTGACTTTAAGTTCATCAGAATCATTGCTCTGGCTAGTGTTAACAATGCTGCCTCTGTTAAATGTTGAATTTTGGCTTTATAGATGCACCCTTGAGATCCCAGCCATCCTTGTTATCAATGGCCAAAAGGCTGTACAAACTCAGGAAGTGGCCGTGAAGAAGCAAGGAGGACCTTCTGCATGAAGTCATGCAGCAGTCCCCTACTGAGACCAAAAGGAGGGTCTGCCTGGAGAATGTGGATCGCCAGCAACACACCACAGCGTGGCTCCTAAGCATTATGGAGCGCTAAGCAGACTCGATTCAGGCACTCATAGTACTGCATAGGGAGCAGATTCACACCTCTTTCCCTTGCACCCCCATGTCACAGCCAACCCACTTTTCCCCAACATCCAGTTTATCGCCAGCAGGTGCCTCCAACACCTTCACTACCCAGCCCTGCAAACTATGACCCCTTCACTCAACCCCCATCACATGCATTTTAGCCAGCCTGAAGTGCAGCACTCATTGCACAGTACTCCAGGGAGAAAGGCTGAATATGAAAACAGGACATGCAAATCTTACAGTCCTGTTCCCTCCTCCCCCACAGCACAGATGGGTCATGCTATGTGTTTCTCTCCAGCAGTTGTTTCTTTTCAATACATTGATTTTTGGTTTTGGAAACATTCTTTAGTGCATTAAGTAAAAGAGAGCATAGCCCAGAAAAGTAATAGGCACTGCTAGTCAGTGCATCATAGTCAGATGCCTACTAGCAGTGGAACAACTGCACTTCACTCTCATGCAGGGCACCAAACATTACTGGTGGCTTTCAGCACCAAATTACTTCTCAAGGCATCCCTAATCCTTATGTCCCCACAGTAGGCCCCTCTAATAGTCCTGGTCTCTGGCTGTTCAAATTCAGCCTCCAGGCATTGAACCTCAGTGATCCATGCCTAAGTGAAGCTTTCACTCTTCCCTTCACAAATGTTATGGAGGGTATAGCACGTGGCTATAACCATAGGGATGTTGTCATCAGCCAGGTCCGGCTTCCCCTACAGACAGTGCTAGCAGGCCTTTAAATGGCTAAAAGCACACACAGTCATTCTGCACCGACTCAGCCTGTTGAATCACTCTTTGCTGCTGTCAAGGCTCCCTGTGGAGGGTTTCATGAGCAATGGCATTAAAGGGAGGTGGGGTCTCCAAGGATCACAATGGCCATTTCAGCTTCCTTTATGGTGATCTTCTGGTCCAGGAAGAAAGTCTCAGCTTGCAGCTTCCTAAACAGGCATGTGTTCCAAAAGATGCGTGCGTCATGCACCTTTCCAGACCAGTCTGCGTTAAATGTCCATGAAATGCCCACAGTGATCCACAAGCACCTGGAGAACCATCGAAATACACCCCTTCCGATTTATGTACCCAGAGGCTTGGTGGTCTGGTGCCAGAATTGGAATATGCATGTCATTACCCCATCGCAGTTTAAGGAAACCCATTTGTGCAAAGCCATCTACAATGTCACGCACATTGCCCAGAGTCACGGTTCTTCTGAGCAGGATGCAATTAAGGGCCCTGCACACTTGCATCAACACAATTCCAATTGTAGATTTGCCCATGCCAAACTGGTTAGCGACCAATTGATAGCTGTTTGGAGTAGCCAGCTTCCAGATTGCAATCACCACGTGCTTCTCCACCAGCAGGGCAGCTCTCAATCTCGTGTCCTTGCGCTATGGGATGGGGGCGAGCTCAGCACAGTCCCATAAAAGTGGCTTTTCTCATCCGAAAGTTCTGCAGCCACTGCTCGTCATCCCAGACTTGCATGACGATGTGATCCCACCACTCAGTGCTTGTTTCCCAAGTCCAAAAGCAGCGTTCCATGCTGGTGAGCATGTTCGTGAATGCCACAAGCAATCTTGTGTCATATGCATTATGCATGTCAACATCAGCAGACTCCTCACTGTCACTTTGTAGCCTAAGGAGTAACTCGACTGCAATTTGCGACGTGCTGGCGAGACTCATCCACATATTCCTCAGCAGTTCAGGATCCATTCCCGCAGACCGAAAGGGAAGACAGAGCACGCAGTACAAAAACAGTTGAGAGATAGCACCAAATGTGGACAGAAGAATAGGGATTGCTGGGATGCGAAATAATGCCTCATAGGGCATGGGGGACAGGACCCAGGATGCCCTGCGCCCCCACCCCACGAGCCTCAGTGCCAGAATGGGAAGAGACGCTCTGTGGTGCCCACGGGCGCCATGGTGTCCACTGGTGCATTTGTGTGCCCACAGGACACCCGCCAAAATGCCAAGAGGAGTTGCCGTTTCTTGGCAGCAACGCTTCTTCCCGCTGCTGCTTTTCGGTGGCGGCATTTCGGCTGCCGGGTATCTGGTGCCCACCACCGTCTTCTGGGAATAGCAATATACTATTCCCACAAAAAAGTTTGGGGAACCACTGCTCTGTGGGATAGCTGCCCATAATGTACTGCTCTGAATGGCATCACAGCTGTGTACTGTAGCATAGACACTTCCTACAGTCAGAGAAGGGTTTTTTTCCAGTAGTGTAGTAACACTTCCCTGATTAACTGTAGGTATCAATACTGCCACATCTACAGAGATGTTATCATCCAAGAGGACATTTGCTCTCTGAGGCCTGGTCAACATAGCTAAGGTGGTCAGGCTGTGAAAATCCACACCCCTGACCTACATTACTATGCCAGCCTAACAGTGTAAATGCAGCAATGTTGATGGGAGAATGCTTGATGGCAGGAGATAATGTTCCTACACTGCCAAAAACAAACCTGGTCAGCATAGTCTACTCTATAGGACTACTCTTGGATTCCTTGCTGACACTGGGCTCTCCCATCATAATGGCCATGACTAATGCTTTCTACCATCAAAGACCTGAACTTATGTATTCATGCCTTTGTCACCTCTCAGTTGGACTACAGCAAGGAGATATATCTAGGTATGATACCTGCAGCACCTCTCAGCAATACATGCAACTGTGAGCACACCACACCTGTCCTCTGCTCTCTACAGAATATCGAATCAAGGTCTTAGTCTTTATCTTCAAAGTACTCAAGGGCCCAGACCCAGGAGACTATCTAAAGTTTCAGGACAAAGTGTGATTGACAGCTTTGCTCCACTTGCACAGTGGAACTGTCGAACAGTACGAGTAAAGCTAATCTCTGGTGTAGACAGAACTTGTTCCAGAGGCTGTTGGAGACAGTGGAACCAACACTGCCCAGCAACCGTTACAAGCCACCACTTTCTTTTCCAAGTGTAAGGCATTTCTTTGATCTTGCTTTCTTCACTATAAACAAGGCAACAAACACCTTTCCAAAGACACTCCATTGCCTATGCTTCCCCTTGTGGGGAAGAGGGTAGGAGAACATGATAGTGTAGTCATGTTACTTAATATACTATTAGAAGGTGCCAAGAGATATGATGAGTATGGTATAAAAATCTATATAGACTAGAAGACAGCCTGGTATACCTCTGACAGTCTCCAGAACTCACTGCTGAAACAGCATATACTTATCCCTCAAAATACACGTGCATCTCTGTATCACAGCAAGAGCCCTTCCTACCTGCTCCAACTGATCTTACCATTCAGTACAGCTACACCTAACAGTTAACACAACCAGAGTGCATCTAGATTAGCAGAACCCAGCCAATGGAAAATTTATTCATGTCCACTTATGGCATGCTCCCCCACTCCCCTACCAGTGGTAATGCCAGCTCCAGGATTGCAGTTAATATGGTGTTGTAGGGGTGGCACCTATTTTAACTCTTGGACAAAACAGAAGCAAGATTAACAATTTTTTAAAAAAAAGCAAGTGCTGGTGTGGGTGGTAGGCAAATTGGCCACACTAGCTTAGACCTAAAAAACAGCATTCCAATGAGGAAAGGCCATGCCTCATTTCACCTTTAAAGTGAAAAGAATAATAGACTTTCTGTTTTCATGTTCAGTTCTAAAGTTAGGCCTTTGCTGACAGTAACAATACACCTTTGGGAAGAGTATGTGAATACTTACACTGTTCCTTGCTATCCTTATTTCCCTTGCACAACACGTGGGCCTTGATAAGCTACTTCCTACCAGGAGTAGCAAGCTTATTTTCTTCCCGTGCGTGTGTGGTTGGTTTTGTTGTTGTTGGGTTTTTTTGGTTTTGGGGAGGGAGAACACCCTTGAGAACTAGCTTTTTGTAGATCACAGCAATGCTCCAGGCAGACATCACTACTAAACAAAATTATAGGGAGCAGCTCTAATATGCTGTATTATAATGCACAGCATTAGCCCTGGGGTGGTCTCCAATTCATTTTAACTAGTAAGAGGCAGTTAGCAGCACATTCCTATCCAAGACAGGCTGAGAGAAGTCATGTACATGAGTTGACAAACCTGGGAGTAAATGGATTTATTTAAAAAAAATACCAGTTTAAAAAAAAAAAAACACACAAACAAGCAAGGTTAGAACTGTCACCCATAGCATTGTAATAGGATTTCTCCTCCCTCTACACCTCTCATAGCGGCCGCTTGTCCAGTTTCACCATGTCTGCTGACCTGATCTTGGCCTGTATCCTACATTACATATCTCCCACTGTCTTTATTTTCCCCCTCTCCCGTAAAGCAGCAATTTGCCTCTCCCTTAAAGCAGCAATTGCTGAACATACACCATTACACTGCAGATCCACCTTAATTTTCCTCATTGGACCATACCATCTACAACACACATTAAATGATTCATGTCTGTTACAAGTCAAACTTATCACAGAAGAATGTGTGGCAAAATGAAGGAAGCTAATCCTTTACTGGGGGAGAAAGAGTATAGGTTAATCATGCCCTAGTGGGGCAATACGTTATTTTGCATATCACACAGGAGGAGCTACTCTCACTCTGTTGAGCAACAGGGTTTTGAGAACTAATATAGCAAGAATGTCTTCTGAAAAGCCAGTGAGGGAGAGAGGGAGGAGAAAAATCTAGACTGACCCACAGTGGAGAGTGGAAATATATAATAGGAACAAGCCACTGGAAAACAAACAACTGGCATTTTGAAACAAGAGTTTGGTATCAAACTATTGTATTGTCTAACTATCATTAATTCCCTCCCCAACTGTTTTTTTTAATTTTAGATTTCAGCTATTGGGTTTTAGGCAGATTTAGACCAACAGTCTCTCTATGGCTTGCTGGACCGATTGAATCTGAGGCTTCAGTTGTGACCCTTCCTTGATGGTAATTGAGCAGGCAATGACAGGCCGGGAGACACCACATGCCCGGCCCAGGGCCTGCTTGGAGCGCACAAAGACATAGGGCACGTTCTTGTCCTCGCACAAGAGAGGGAGGTGCAGGATGATCTCCAGGGGCTCAGCATCTGCAGCCATCACAATGAATTCTGCTATTCCTCTGTTCAGTGTTTTTGTAGCTGTAGAGAGAAAAGGAAGAGGATTAGGTGGAGGTCTTGCGGTGGAGCATATTAACACAAGAGAATGTTACGAAACACAGAAATCTATTTAGTAACAGTGAATCTATTATTGGTAGATGCCATGGTAATGCTATTAGGAGCCCTAGTCAAGGGCCAGGACCCACTGAGCTGGGTGTTGTACAACCAGAACAGAGACAGTCCCGCCCCAAAGAGCTTGTGAAAAATCTCCTGAGGAAAGTGGTAGATTTGGTGTCATAAAAAAAACAAACATGCAGATTGGACAAGGCTGTAAGGAACATATTCTAGGAATCAAACCTATTGTGTGACAGGGAGGGAGTGAAGGAAGGTGATGTAAGCGATTGTATAGATAAAACTGATCCAACAACTGTTTTCATTCTATGTTTTATAATTAGGACATAGGAGTCCTATTTGTCTGGATCCTTCCCCAAAGCCAATAGTGTCCAAACTTTTCTCCTGACGCATTCCCTTACCAGTAATGGAATATGTCTGCAGCCCCCTGGGCTAGGAGTACAGTCACAGCTGGGCTGGGGCAGGTGGTCGAGCTGTGGCAAGGAGCAGGGCTGCGGCCAAAGTCCGGGAGGGGAGCTAAGGCTGGATGCCCTCTCCTCCCATGGGGGCTGGACTGGGCCCCACCACTCCCCTGGACATTCCTCCACACACCCCAGTTTGGGACCACTGCCCTAAACACTATCCTTTCTTATGCAGCACATCAATGGGCACTACAGACAAATATTAAGGATGTAATCCTGACAAATTAGTCTCACCACCAACCAGCCATCTTCCATAACACTCTCCCCTGATACCCCTCCCCAAAACACACACAGGAACTGTTATATCAACAACCCTATTTTATGCAGTTAACAGAGAGGCAGGTGAGAGCTGCACACAGTTTTGTTCCTGTTAGAATATTCTGGGGGGGGGGGGGGGGGGGATTATCTGGGGGAAGTTCTCCTGCCTCAGAGGTCAGACTTAGATGATCACAGTGATCCCTTCTGGCCTCAATCTATGAAACACTTTAGTTACTTTCAGCCAACACAGCATGTTTTATAAACAGACCTCACCTTCATTGGCACCCTTGCGTAGCTGTTTGTAGTTGCAGGACTGTTGTACAAGGTCCAGCAGGGTTTTGGTGAGTTGTGCATCAGCCAGTGGGTAAGCTTTGGGGTTCACGTCTGCCTCAGTCTAGAAAAAGGCAAGAATTACAAGAAGCAGAGGAAAGCTTCACTTGGAACATTTACAGGCAGGTACTGAGTCAAACACATCCAAACTCTCTAGAACCACAGGTTCACATCCTGCCAGGATCAACTCAGTCCCTGATTCTTCTGAAAGACCTACACAAAATCTATCTGCAGATGAGACAGGAAACACTGAGGTCTCATCTGCTCTGCATGGACACTAAAGATTGCATGGCATCCCAAAGTTACATACACACACAGGTTTGTTCTCAGTCCTAAACCAAAGTTCCCCTCTACATGCTGTTGTTTCACATATACCATACTAATTCCAGCCCAGACGTAGTTCAACAGTGAGCCCTTTGTAATTTCATGTGTGATGTTAATATAAAATGTTTATCTGCCAACATAGGGAGAGCAATTGCACATTTTTAGATCTGAACTTAAAAGAATAATCCTGTCAAGAGAGTCAGGCACCAGGTTTATTTTGCAAAGGCATGTTTTAAATATTAGGCAGGGAATGTTCTGAGAACAATTCAAAAGGAAATTTTTTACTTAACACTTCTCCCTTCTGCCCCCCCCGCAAGTGTTGGAACAATTCTGTGCTAGCGCATAACAAACAGGAATTAAAAGCAGGAATTAAAATCAACCATGCTAGTTTGTGCCCATGATAAGTGAAAAACAAACAAACAGCATCAATAGGGGAAGAGTTAGAATTCTTTTCTGTTTTAACTAAGGCTTTTCTAAAACCTTATGTTAACAATTAAACTGTTCTAGATCTGCACAAACAAGTGACAGGATTTTTGAGGCCCTTCTGTAACGGACATGCTTCTGCTCAGGGTCAGCTCTACTACATAGGTAGCCAGATAAACAGTAAATATTCAGATAGGGGATTATGGAACTGAAAGGAGATGACAGGTTTGTCTAGACAGACAGCTCTGCTTCTCCAGTTTGAGATGTTCTTGTGCCTAAGAAAGGCACAACAGGATACCTCCTAAAGGAGTGTGTGTGATCTAGTGGCTAGAACACGGAGTAAGAAAAGGAGGACTTGTGGCACCTTAGAGACTAACCAATTTATTTGAGCATAAGCATAACTGGACAGTCTCTATGTAAAAGAATAAATGGATGCAAATCAGATGTCAAGAATTATAACATTCATAAACCAGTCGGAGAACACTTCAATCTCTCTGGTCACGTGATTACAGACATGAAAGTTGCTATATTACAACAAAAAAAACTTCAAATCCAGACTCCAGCGAGAAACTGTTGAATCGGAATTCATTTGCAAATTGGATACAATTAACTTAGGCTTGAATAGAGACTGGGAGTGGCTAAGTCATTATGCAAGGTAACCTATTTCCCCTTGTTTTTTCCTAACCCCCTCAAAGACGTTCTTGTTAAACCCTGGATTTGTGCTGGAAATGGCCCACCTTGATTATCATACACATTGTAAGGAGAGTGGTCACTTTAGATAAGCTATTACCAGCAGGAGAATGGGTTTGTGTGTGTGGGTGGGGGGGTGGTGGTGGTGGTGGTGAGAAAACCTGGATTTGTGCTGGAAATGGCCCACCTTGATTATCATACACATTGTAAGGAGAGTGATCACTTTAGATAAGCTATTACCAGCAAGAGAGTGGGGTGGGAGAAGGTATTTTTTCATGCTTTGTGTGTATATAAAAAGATCTTCTACACTTTCCACTGAATGCATCTGATGAAGTGAGCTGTAGCTCACGAAAGCTTATGCTCAAATAAATTGGTTAGTCTCTAAGGTGCCACAAGTCCTCCTTTTCTTTTTGCGAATACAGACTAACACTGCTGTTACTCTGAAACCAGAACAGGGAATGCAACTTGGGAGACCAGGGTCACGTGCCAAGGGAGGGCTGGGTGAGCTTTGGCAAGTCTGTCACCTCTCTTTCTCTCTGTTTCTCCTCTGTAAAGTGGTTTGAAATCTACAGATAAAAAGCACTATAAGAACTAAATATGGCTATTGCTACACGAACTTTCAATGTAAGTTACCCCTTTAAATAACCCCCTCTTATTATGGTCAATTTACAGTCAATAAACGTAGACTCATGCTGTGAAATAAGCGGTCCCATCCCGTACTAGTCTCATACAAGGCAGGGGAGGGGGAAGCATAACCTTCATGTGCTCCCACCCAGCCCCGTACTCCCCCCCCACACACGCCGAGAGGTGGGGCGGCAGCATAGCATCCTGCTGGTCTTCGCAAGCTCCCACCCCACCCAGCGGAGGCAGCAAAGGGGATCAGGGGGAATCGGGACACAGCGCTCAGAGGAGGGCGAGCAGTTGCCCACACAAAAGCCACAGGACATGGCCGCAGTTGCTGGGACCGGCCAGCTGCCCTGTGCGCGGCAGCGGGAATCGTGGAGGGGCGCGGAGATATACGCCCCCCGCCGCAGCGGCCTCTTGCCCCGCCCACATGGCGGCGCCCGTGCTCCACGTGCCCCGGCCCAGGCAGCGCCCCCGGGAGCCCGGCCGCCCATCTCCCGCCCTGCGCACGCTGCTCGCAGAACGCGGAGTGTCCCAGCGTTCCGCCCGCCTCCCCCCACGTGCTCTGCCGCCAGCCCGGCCTGGGCGCCACTCACCATGGCTGCGCTGTAGGCGAACCGAGCCCTTCCCTGTGCGCAGCGGCGCGGAGCGACCCTCTCGGCCCGAAAGCTTCACGGAGGAAAAAAAGCTGAACTGCTCTAAGTGCGTCGCGCCCGGAAATGAGGTTTAGCTGAGCCCGGCCGGGGCGGGGAGCCAGGGGAGACTCTCACCTTAAAGGGCCAGCGCTGCTCTTTTTAAAAACCGGCCGGGTCTAAGCTCCTGGATGTACGGGGGTTGTGCTGTGCATTGCGTCCCCTGCGCGTGCTCGAGTCCCAAGACAGAAGCGACAATTCAGGAACCAGAGACCAGCTTTGCTTGCAGCTGAAAGGGATTTTTGGCGGAAACAATATTCAGTATCCTGCTCAGTCTGGGATTTCCACGTAGAGATTGTTATGCTGGAGCTTAGAGGCGGAGCTGAATTCTGATTTCAAATGCATTCTGAATAGAAAGATAAACCTACTCACACTATACAAGGCACATAAATTATTCAGGAAAAGAAAAGGAGGACTTGTGGCACCTTAGCGACTAACCAATTTATTTGAGCATAAGCTTTCGTGAGCTACAGCTCACTTCGTCGGATGCATACTTTTGACACGGTCTCCCACAGTATTCTTGTCAGCAAGTTAAAGAACTATGGGCTGGAAGAATGCACTATAAGGTGGGTAGAAAGCTGGCTAGATTGTCGGGCTCAACGGGTAGTGATCAATGGCTCCATGTCTAGTTGGCAGCCGGTATCAAGTGGAGTGCCCCAAGGGTCGGTCCTGGGGCCGGTTTTGTTCAATATCTTCATAAATGATCTGGAGGATGGTGTGAATTGCACTCTCAGCAAATTTGCGGATGATACTAAACTGGGAGGAGTGGTAGATACGCTGGAGGGGAGGGATAGGATACAGAAGGACCTAGACAAATTGGAGGATTGGGCCAAAAGAAATCTGATGAGGTTCAATAAGGATAAGTGCAGGGTCCTGCACTTAGGACGGAAGAACCCAATGCACAGCTACAGACTAGGGACCGAATGGCTAGGCAGCAGTTCTGCGGAAAAGGACCTAGGGGTGACAGTGGACGAGAAGCTGGATATGAGTCAGCAGTGTGCCCTTGTTGCCAAGAAGGCCAATGGCATTTTGGGATGTATAAGTAGGGGCATAGCGAGCAGATCGAGGGACGTGATCGTTCCCCTCTATTCGACATTGGTGAGGCCTCATCTGGAGTACTGTGTCCAGTTTTGGGCCCCACACTACAAGAAGGATGTGGATAAATTGGAGAGAGTCCAGCGAAGGGCAACAAAAATGATTAGGGGTCTGGAACACATGAGTTATGAGGAGAGGCTGAGGGAGCTGGGATTGTTTAGCCTGCAGAAGAGAAGAATGAGGGGGGATTTGATAGCTGCTTTCAACTACCTGAAAGGGGGTTCCAAAGAGGATGGCTCTAGACTGTTCTCAATGGTAGCAGATGACAGAACGAGGAGTAATGGTCTCAAGCTGCAGTGGGGGAGGTTTAGATTGGATATTAGGAAAAACTTTTTCACTAAGAGGGTGGTGAAACACTGGAATGCGTTACCTAGGGAGGTGTTGGAATCTCCTTCCTTAGAGGTTTTTAAGGTCAGGCTTGACAAAGCCCTGGCTGGGATGATTTAACTGGGAATTGGTCCTGCTTCGAGCAGGGGGTTGGACTAGATGACCTTCTGGGGTCCCTTCCAACCCTTATATTCTATGATTCTATGATTCTATGAAAGTACAAAAGATCTTTTTATACACACAAACAATGAAAAAATGGGTGTTTACCACTACAAAAGGTTTTCTCTCCCCCCGCCCCACTTTCCTGCTGGTAATAGCTTATCTAAAGTGATCACTCTCCTTACAATGTGTATAATAATCAAGGTGGGCCATTTCCAGCACAAATCCAGGGTTTAACAAGAACATCGGGGGGGGGGGGGGGGTTAGGAAAAAACAAGGGGAAATAGGTTACCCTGCATAATGACTTAGCCACTTCCAGTCTCTATTCAAGCCTAAGTTAATAGTATCCACTTTGCAAATGAATTCCAATTCAACAGTCTCTTGCTGGAGTCTGGTTCTGAAGTTTTTCTGTTATAATATTGCAACTTTCATGTCTGTAATCACGTGACCAGAGAGATTGAAGTGTTCTCCGACTGGTTTATGAATGTTATACACAAAGATGGACTACAAGCCGTCAAGAACACTATCCCCGATAATGTCACGGCTAACCTGGTGGCTGAACTTTGTGACTTTGTCCTTACCCATAACTATTTTACATTTATGGACAATGTATACCTTCAAATCAGCAGCACTGCTATGGGTACCCGCATGGCCCCACAGTATGCCAACATTTTTATGGCTGACTTAGAACAACGCTTCCTCTGCTCTTGTCCCCTAATGCCCCTACTCTACTTGCGCTATATTGATGACATCTTCATCATCTGGATCCATGGAAAAGAAGCCCTTGAGGAATTCCACCATGATTTCAACAATTTCCATCCCACCATCAACCTCAGCCTGGTCCAGTCCACACAAGAGATCCACTTCCTGGACACCTCAGTGCTAATAAACGATGGTCACATAAACACCACCCTATACCAGAAACCTACTGACTGCTATTCCTACCTACATGCCTCCAGCTTTCACCCTGACCACACCACACGATCCATTGTCTACAGCCAAGCTCTGCAATACAACCGCATTTGCTCCAACCCCTCAGACAGAGACAAACACCTACAAGATCTCTATCAAGCATTCTTACAACTACAATACCCACCTGCGGAAGTGAAGAAACAGATTGATAGAGCCAGAAGAGTTCTCAGAAGTCACCTACTACAGGACAGGCCTAACAAAGAAAATAACAGAACGCCACTGGCCGTCACCTTCAGCCCCCAACTAAAACCCCTCCAACGCATTATTAAGGATCTACAACCTATCCTGAAGGATGACCCAACACTCTCACAAATCTTGGGAGACAGGCCAGTCCTTGCTTACAGACAGCCCCCCAACCTGAAACAAATACTCACCAGCAACCACACACCACACGACAGAACCACTAACCCAGGAACCTATCCTTGCAACAAAGCCCGTTGCCAACTGTGCCCACATATCTATTCAGGGGACACCATCACAGGGCCTAATAACATCAGCCACACTATCATAGGCTCATTCACCTGCACATCCACCAATGTGATATATGCCATCATGTGCCAGCAATGCCCTTCTGCCATGTACATTGGTCAAACTGGACAGTCTCTACGTAAAAGAATAAATGGACACAAATCAGACGTCAAGAATTATTCATAAACCAGTCGGAGAACACTTCAATCTCTCTGGTCATGCAATTACAGACATGAAAGTTGCAATATTACAACAAAAAAAACTTCAGAACCAGACTCCAGCGAGAAACTGTTGAATTGGAATTCATTTGCAAATTGGATACTATTAACTTAGGTTTGAATTGAGACTGGGAGTGGCTAAGTCTTTATGCAAGGTAACCTATTTCCCCTTGTTTTTTCCTCCCCCCCCCCCAAGACGTTCTTGTTAAACCCTGGATTTGTGCTGGAAATGGCCCACCTTGATTATCATACACATTGTAAGGAGAGTGATCACTTTAGATAAGCTATTACCAGCAGGAGAGTGGGGTGGGAGGAGAGAAAACCTTTTGTAGTAGTAAACACCCATTTTTTCATGGTTTGTGTGTATAAAAAGATCTTCTGTACTGTCCACAGTATGCATCCGATGAAGTGAGCTATTGCTCACAAAAGCTTATGCTCAAATAAATTGGTTAGTCTCTAAGGTGCCACAAGTACTCCTTTTCTTTTTGCGAATACAGACTAACATGGCTGTTACTCTGAAATTATTCAGGGTACAGGAGGGGGCACGCGAGCTGATTTTCAGTGGCAGTCATGCCGACCGGGTCCTGGCCACTGGTCTGGGGGGCTCTGCATTTTAATTTAATTTTAAATGAAGCTTCTTAAACATTTTAAAAACCTTATTTACTTTACATACAACAATAGTTTAATTATATATTATAGACTTATAGAAAGAGACCTTCTAAAAACGTTAAAATGTATTACTGACCCGTGAAACCTTAAATTAGAGTGAATAAATGAAGACTTGGCAAACCACTTCTGAAAGGTTGCCGACCCCTGGGGTACAGTTTGGAGTAACAGGGTGAGATTTTAACTGGGCATCAACATATTTTTCTAACAGTGCAATCTTTCAGATGACTGAATCCTCTCCCAAAGAAAGAGGTGGACGCTTTGTTGACAATATACTGAAGGATACAATTCCCTACTAGGCAGGGTATGGAGAATGAACAAGATGTGACTGAAAAGTATATGTCATTAGAATTTTATTTTCTGTTGCTCTAGACTCTAAGGACTTGCTTTTCAGAACAGCTGATAATTCACAATTCTAGTTGAAGGCTCTAAGAGCTGTTGCACTTTGGAAAACCAGGCCCTAAATTCTGTATCCGTTGATTGCCTATCTTGATCTTTACTTACTGACTTTCATCTATATTACCCTGGATTTCCACATGTAAAAAATTGAGACATAGAGATCACATTATATTTCCAGGATATACAGGGGCATACAATTATATTCCTTTTGCTGTAGCTCCACCTTTGTTCTCTTTTGTCTTTCCATATTTCATTCTTTTTTAGTCTTTGTTCCATCTTTCCTATTCAGAAAGGGATGCAAATGTTTAACTCATTTTTAAAATCTTCCTAGTTCCAAATGCAATAAAACCATCATGATAATTTTCTGGACTTGGAAAGACATAAGCAAATATTGTGCCTGATAATGTCATTCATCCTTGTTCCCTTCCCTACTCCAAACAAAACACATACACACTTAGTGTTGGATTATGAATTCCCAAGACATCCTTACTGATGCGAAACATGGGACTATGAACACCGGATCTGTTCTGCAGTTCTGGATGGATTAAAGGCATCTCTGTGCCCACTGAATGCTGCTGTAAGGGTAAGGTAAAGGTGCATGCTACTGGGTGGAAGCGCTAACCGTTCTACATTCTAAGTGAATCTATGCTGGGAGAAGCTGCTGTAATTATAGTTCCGGAAACTACCATCTCTTAGGTGTTCTACAATACAGATACTGCACTGCTGCAGCAGTTCAGACATCTCAAACACACAC